GTGAGGCGGTGCTGCCACACTTTCATCTGGACTCACTGGGTTGGCAGTGTCAAGCACTCTTCTTGGGCCTGCTGGCCACTCATCCCTTCTAGAGCAGTGTCATCCAGGTCCTGGGCCCATTTTTAACTCGGTTGTGTCTTGGGTTGCACTGCATTGCACATGTCCTGGATTCTGCGCTGTAGTTGGGGGTCTGAAGACGCACTCTCCCTTGCTGTAGATGGCCTCTGCTTCTCAGTTTAATGCAATCCCATTTTATATTTTTGCTTTTGTTGCCTTGCTTTTGAGACATGTCCAAAATATCATTACAAGGCCAACATTGTAGAGCTTCTAAGAGAAGCAGAAACGTGAACACAGGAGGAGGAGGAGGAGGAGGAGGAGGCGGAGGAGGAGAGGAGGAGGTGGAGGAGAAGGCAGAGGCGGAGGAGGCGGAGGTGGCAGCGGGGTTAGGAAGCCTGGTAGATCAGATGATAGCAGAGTAAGAGGCAGGCAGTGTCCCCAGGCAAGACTCCCATCCTCTTGGTGGCTAAGCACTGTTTTGTCTTTCTGACCTAACAGATGCCTGTGGGGGCCGGGAGGCAGCTGTAAGAACCCAGCTGCAGGTGCCCATGTGGGGTGAGCAGCTGTTCTGTGGGTGGCACCTGTGTCATGCCATGCCAGGCTGCAGGGCCACAGCTCAGGGTGGCAGCCCTGTGGTCAGACATGTGTGGCCTGGGCTGTGGTAGGGCCACAGCAGACGACTGGGTGGCTGGTGCACACTGTGTGCCGCACATGTTCTCGATGGGCCATGTGTGTACAGGGCGGCTCACAGCTGTGCAGAAGAGCATCTGCCCTGCCGGTCACCTGTTACAGGTCCCGTGTGTCCTGTGGGTCTCGTGCCCCACCCTCTGGCAGAGCCCATCTTTGGTCACCAGGGACTGGCTGCTGACCTGAACACTGGATGGGTGTGTCTCCCTTTGTCTGTTCTCTTTATTCTTGTCTCTACTTTTGTAAATTGAATCACGAACACAGAAAGGTCACACATGTTAGCGGGCTGCCATGGATCTGTCCTGTGATGCTTTTCCTGTGTAGTTAGGTGCAATTCTGTGCTGCTTGAATCCTCCGCTTGAGCGCTTCTCCTGGGATGGGTAAACACCAAGTGCTTTCCTGGCTTGTGCAGTCACTGGACTGTGTTTGTCACCTTCAGTCACCCCTTGGAGCAGCAGCATGCCTGAACTTATTCATGTCTGCTCTGTCCCTGTGGTTAGTCATTGATGGGAAACCGTGTGTCCCTCATGCACACATGTCCACATGCATGCACACAGCGAGTTCTTGCTCTGGGGTGGAGACTGCAAGCATTTTTTTCCATATAGCATGTATGTGTCTTTGTGGTCCTACAGGAGCCCGCTACCACATGTGTGCCTGGCACACCTGCAGGAGTCAGTGGCCTCTGTGCCCCCCATGCAGATATTTTTAGAAATCCTTCCAAATAGTCAAGTGAGGGGGCCAGGGAGATGGCTCAGTGGAATAAGTGCTTCCTGGCAAGCGCAAGGGCCTGAGTTCAATCCGCAGTTCCGCAAAAAAAAAAAAAAAAAGCATTCAAGTCAAGCAAAAGGTTAAACATGGCAGCCATTGATAGAGTACCATTCAGGGCTATCTGTAACAAAATAGTCAAGTGAAGTAATCAAATACATTTGTTCCTCAACATCTTGTGGGTTGAGAATCACAGAAAGAAAAGAATTCCCTATTCTGAGGTTATATGTAAACCCCTCATCACTTTTATTTTTTATTTTTTTTTAATTTTTTTTATTTACGTGTGTGTGTGTGTGTGTGTGTGTGTGTGTGTATGGCCAGCTCAGTCCACCAGGGGGCGGGCTGGCTGGCATGTGGTGCTGGGGGATTGAACCGTGGTCCCTGGGCTTTGCTAAGCTTGTTCTAAGTAGGTGCTTTAGACCACTGAGCAATCTCACCAGCCCCCCCCCATCACTTTTAATGCTTTCATTAAATATTTAATTACTTGTACATATACTATCACCTGTGTACATAACATCACAGTGTTTTCTTCAGGTTAGAAGCCTACTGTTTCTTTTTCCTTCCCTCTTCATCCTCCCTGGCTTTTTTCCTCTTCTGTCCAGTGAGGAGATCAGGACATGACTTAGTGTGTGCACTCACAGATCTCCTCAGAAAACGGTGGTCTTTGTTTACAAAAGCCAGTTTATGTAGCCACCTGTTTTTACATCCTGCCATTCAAATCCCCCAGGGGACCCTCGAGGCCACAGCCCTGCACCTCTTCTCTGGCCAGGCAACTGCCTCAGGCTTCCCGCAGATCTGCCGGGAGCAGCTGCACTGGATCTGGATGTCCAGGCACCACGTTGCCCCAAGTCTGCCACCCGGTTCTAGTGCACCCTCTGCTGTCACCTCATGTCAGGGCCCATTGTAGGCCAGTAGCACATGGAGTCGCCCCCGAAGAGGGAGCACAGCAGGGGCAGCCATGTAGGGCCTGACCCGAACTGTCTTAGGTTGTGATGTCCCCCCTTGGCCCAGTTCCTCATAGCTCTTGCGCCCCTCAGGCTGCCTGCGGCAGTGGCAGTGCCCTCGTGCATGCCCTGTGCACATTCCTGCTCTTCCCCTGCTACCTCTGCCTGTCTGTGTGCCCCTGCTTTACCTGTACCCATAAGCAGCCCTGGGCCCCACTGGGGCCTCCCAGGAGGGGTCCTCTTGTCACAGGAGTGTCTTGGCCAGGCCAGGCCAGGCTGCTGTGTGTCATGGTGGAGATAGGGTCTTCTGCTGGCCAGTGATGTACCCTTCCTGTCTGGGCTGAAGGTCTCTTCCACGCGAGCTGAGTGGCCACCAGCCTGCTTCACATGCCCCTGGGGGTGGCAGCTATCCTGGGCCTCTGATTCCTGGGGTCCTGTGCTGGGCACTGTCTATGATCTTAGCCAGAGACGAGGCCTGGCTGGGCAAGGTCCTTTGACATGGCTCCTTCTGAGGGTCTCTGAGCCCTCTTTGCTGGGTGTCATGCACCTGTGATTGGCTCCAGCCCTATGGCGTGTGAGCGTCCCAACCCAGAGGCTCCTGGGCCCCAGGCTCCCCCCCTCCCATCTCCAGGGCAGAACTCCCTGCAGGGAGATGCTTCCCAGCCATGTGGCTTTCCGAGTTGGGGATCCCAGACATTCCTGGGAGAACTGGGCACCTGGCACTGCCCCAGTGGCTTGAAGGGTGCGTATGGGGGTATTTCTGGTGACCGAGTGCCTGGGAGCAGGTGGGTACCCTCTCCCTCCATTTGTCCACCCCTCTGGGCGTGGACTTATGGGTCTATGCAGGGACCCTACAGGCTGGGCTCTCAGCTGAGGCCCTGTGCAGGTCAGCCCTGGATGGGCCGCGTCCCTCTGGAAGTCCCAAGGCAGGGAGGAGGGTGGGCCCCCAGGCTGTGTAGCTGGGCAGCAGAGTGTGCCCGAAGCGGAGCCTTGGCCTTCCTCCCAGCCTTGCTGTGCTCTTGTGGGGCTATGAGGGGAGTCTGGCAGTGCACATGGCACGTGGTTGCCAGGGCAAGTCTGGCAACAGTCCCCAGCCCGCCTGACCCCTCAGGGTGCCCTGGACCTAGGCTGCTGTCCTTTGGGGACACCGCAGACTGCTCTTTCGTCCCCAGGCTGACGGGTAGCGAGCCTCTGACCATCCTCCCGCTGACCCTGGAGCCTGAGGCAGCGGCCCAGGCTCATTACAAGGCCTGCGACCGGCTGAAGCTGGAGCGCAAGCAGAGGCGCATGTGCCGCCGGGACCCGGGCGTTGCCGAGACGCTGGTGGAGGCCGTGAGCATGAGCGCGCTCGAGTGCCAGTACCAGTTCCGCTTCGAGCGCTGGAACTGCACCCTGGAGGGCCGCTACCGTGCCAGCTTGCTCAAACGAGGTGAGTGGGGTAGGCTTTGGTGCTGGGCGAGGACTGGGCGTCTCTTAGGTCTGGGTTCCCACCCAGCACCGCGAGACACTGGGGGTTGGAGCCGCCCCTGAGATCTCAACTGTGGAGCTGCGTCCCCCTGTGCCCTCCCCACCCCCACCAGGGGAGAGGCATCCAAGGGCATTCCCAGGTGCGCCCCGCTGACCCCTGACCCCCAGACCCATGATGACCCCGACCAGGCTTCAAGGAGACCGCCTTCCTTTACGCCATCTCCTCTGCTGGCCTAACGCACGCGCTGGCCAAGGCCTGCAGCGCTGGGCGCATGGAGCGCTGCACGTGCGACGAGGCGCCGGACCTGGAGAATCGCGAGGCCTGGCAGTGGGGTGGCTGCGGAGACAACCTCAAGTATAGCAGCAAGTTTGTCAAGGAGTTCCTGGGCCGGCGCTCAAGCAAGGACCTGCGCGCCCGTGTGGACTTCCACAACAACCTCGTGGGTGTGAAGGCAAGCGGGGTGGGGCATGAGGGGAAGGGTGGGACCCTGGTTGAAGGATTGAACAAGGGGAAGGAGGGACCGAGGTGAGTGTGGCGGGGCCCAGGAGAGGGGTCAAAGGGGAGGGCGGGTCTGAGAGACGTGAGGGCCCGCTGCCTCTGTTGAGCCCCCCAGGCTTAAGCTCCCAAAGGCTGGTTACCTGCTGGACAGATGGAGACCCTTGTACCTGGCCTGGAGAAAGCAAGTCAGACAGGAGTGGCTGGGTCTGGGCCCCCTGTCCGTCCCGGGCTGTGGAGGCTGCTCAACCCAGCTCCCTGGCTGGACCATTTGATCAGAAAATGGGCAGTTTGTGATCCCTGCTGTCCCACAGTTGTGACCTGAAGACCTAAATCGAGGACATTCTGGACAGGGGGCTGTAAACAGGATCCCGGAGAAGGGTTGGGGGGTGCGAAACCCACTTGCCAAGTCAGTAACAACCAAATATGTGTCCCTGTCCCTGCCTGTGGCCCCGTCTGTTCTTTTTGGGAGAGGGAAAGAAGACCCACCAGGCCCTTATGTGGGCCAACCTGGGCAGGCATGGCTAAGGCCCTAGAGGACCTGGCTTTGCCAGCTCCAGATTCACACTCCTGGCAAGAAGAATTGGATCCCCTGACTTAGGATCAGAACAGCACCCCAGGGTACCTGATCCCCAGTCCTGGAACTCCCAAGGCCCCAAGTGTAGGGACAAGGATGAGCCTTGGGAGTGCTGGGCAGCCTCTGTGCTGAGCTGGGGAGGTCAGGAGGTGACTGGGTCAGTGCAGCCCTGAGCTCTATGTTGGTGAGAAGCCAAGCTCTGACCCCACGTGAGTTAAAGAGTTGGTGTTCCCTTTCCACCCAGAGCTCACTGCGCTGGGCAGGCCAACCAGCAGGGCCCAAAGGCAGACCAAATCCCTTGGCCAGAGGCTCTCTGCGGTGTCTCTCTGCACAGTGGGTCCTTTTGTGAGCCAGCGATGAAGACGCCCCTTCACACTTGATCTTAGCCAAAAGGCTGAGAAGCGATACGACTCCTCTTCATCCTGAGGCCTGTTAGCTCCGTGGGGCCTGGGGAGGCCTCCTTTTAATTACATTTGACTTTCTTGTTAAAGCAGCATTAAGTGCAGGAGGACGGAGAGGGCAGCACAGCTCCTAATCTCCAATCAGCTGCCCATAGTGGTCTGCCCTGGGGCTCAGCAGCTGGCTCAGGGCATCCCTCCCTGCTATGCTAGCCTTGCGCTGCCCGACCTGTGACCCCTCAAGAAGCTGGCTGTCTTGGGGAGCATGAGGTCCTGGACTTAAGTGTGCACCATGCTGGCTGCCACTAGGAAGGCTCGAGGGTGCAGCCTTGGGGTGCACATTTCACCAGATGGTGTCTGTGTCCACCCCATAGGCTGAGCCACAGGCAGTACCTGCATGGTACCTGTGTGGACAGGGATGTAGCCAGCCAGGGCAGACATCTGGATGAGGTTGTATGCATCCTTGTCTATTATGTGACCTGACAGGAGGTTTGCCAGCCTGGTGATGGATGGTGGCAGAGACAGGGATGACACAGAGGGCAAGGTGATCCCTTTGGGGTCAGTGTGCTGGCCTCCAGGCTCTGGGCTCTCTGGGTTGGGTGGTGCTGACCCCTGCTGGCTGGGCCTGGCGCCCTCACCATGGACTCTGTAGGTGATCAAAGCTGGAGTGGAGACAACCTGCAAGTGCCATGGCGTGTCGGGCTCCTGCACCGTGCGGACCTGCTGGCGGCAGCTGGCACCCTTCCACGAAGTGGGCAAGCACCTGAAGCACAAGTACGAGACAGCACTCAAGGTGGGCAGCACCACTAATGAAGCCACTGGCGAGGCAGGCGCAATCTCCCCAACCCGAGGACGGGCCTCAGGGACAGGCAGTGACCCACTACCCCGCACACCAGAGCTGGTGCACCTGGACGACTCACCCAGCTTCTGCCTGGCTGGGCGCTTCTCCCCGGGCACGGCTGGCCGTCGGTGCCACCGTGAAAAGAACTGCGAGAGCATCTGCTGTGGACGCGGGCACAATACGCAGAGCCGGGTGGTGACCAGGCCCTGCCAGTGCCAGGTGCGCTGGTGCTGCTACGTGGAGTGCCGGCAGTGCACCCAGCGTGAGGAGGTCTATACCTGCAAGGGCTGAGCCCCGCTGCAGCCAGCCCTGCTCTATGGGGTGCAGGCACCCCACACAGCATGAGGGGCGTATACTGCCTGTGCTGAGCCCGTAGACCCGGCCAGCCCTGCTGTGGGGTGTAGACACTGCACACAGTGCAAGGGTCCGCACCTGGAGAGGCCGGGCCACTGTGTGGCGGGAGGTGCCCAGTGGCCCAGGGCTGGTGCAGTGGCCCCTGTCTGGCCCCACTGCCTTGCATAACCCGGGCCTCAGCTTCTGACACGAGAGCATTGCTGCAGTGCTTTCTGAGTTGCCTCTGTCCCTGACACACCTTTCCCAAGTGTGGCCCTCTTCCAGTCTCTTGACTGCCCCTCTCTGCCTCTGGGCTTGCTCTGAGGCTCAGGGGACCAGCGCACCTTCGTGACCATGTGGCTGCCCATTGGAGTGGCTGCCTGGCCTGGCACTGGCACTGGCACCAGCACTGTGTTCAGAGAGCCAAACCACTAGGAGAGAGTGCCAGCTGCCCGTGTCCAGTCCTGCCGCCCAGGGCAGGCTGGGGCTTTGCCGTCCCTCTCTGATATTGAGCACTTCTATTTGGAGTGAAGTCGTTGACTTTTAAATTATTATTATTATTATTATTAATTATTTAACTAATGTAATAATTATTATTTCTTTGGATCCCGCCGCTGCCTGGGCCGTCTCTAGGGGGCCACACCCTGAGCCATCGGGGGCTCCTTCCCCCTCCCCACCTGCAGCTATCTACCCTGGCTTTGAAACCACTATTCCAGATGATGCTGTCCTTAGAGGAAGAGACTCCCTGGGGCTCTGGAAGCCACCACACAATGGCAGAGCCACCTGGGGGGCCGGCTGCACATCTTGCAGTGGGCAGCCACGTGTGCAGGGCCTGGGTGGTGTAGGGTGGCAGGTGAAGGGACAGCCATGCTTTCACTGTATAGGGAGCAGTTGGGGACAGGTGTAGTCTGCCTAGCTTTGCCCACAGGATGCCCTTCTTTTGGCAGTGCTGTCTTTATAGGGCAAGGGTCAATGCCAAAGAGGTTGGCTTGAGAGTGAATGTGAAATGTCTGTGTATGGAGTGTACATGTGTGCGTGCGTGTGTGTGTGTGTGTGTGTGTGTGCACGCATGTGCATACTAGGCTGGTGTGGGGAGCTTGGTTGCACTTCTCAGAGCACTGAGGGGTAGCTCGGTGGCCCTGGGCTTTCTGGGTGGTGTCCTGCATGTGTGGCAGACGGCAGGGCGGATGCTGGGACTACTGAGAGCTGCTCCCTCAGCCCAAGGGTCTAGGAAGCCAGGTGCATTTTAGAGACACCTCTTTCTGGGAACATGAGTCTTGCACCCTTCCAAGGTAGTGCATGTGGCAAGGTTAGCTCTGTGGTTGGCAGCCCGGCCTGGCCCCAGGAAACAGGCGTGCTGGCCAGGAGCCATGCTGGGCAGGTCTGGCCAGGACAGGGCAGCTACAGGCAAGGAGTCCTGTGTTCCTGACACCTGTGCTTAGGGGCCCAAGCAGACCTGCCAGGGGCCCTTACAGCCAAGCTCAGCACCACCAGGGGTGGCATGGCTCTGCCAGGTCAGGATGTTTATCAGATACCACATTTAGCTCTCTGTCTTCAATATTCAGAAAGTATTTTTAAACAAGGTAGAGCACACACATCCACTGGCTGTGTCTATGCAAGCGTATGTTGGAACGTCTTGCTGACTGTGGCAGCCGCTCTTTGGGGGTCAGGCTGGAGGGAGGGAGGTCCCCTTCCACCTGCGTGGACCCGGACCCAGGCTCGCTGCGGCTGGGTGGTGCTGGGGCACACAGGACGCCCTTGTGCCGAGTCTGTGCGAGCCTGTTGATTTCTCTACCTCATCTGTGTAGCGAGTAGGTGTGTACCTGAGTGACTGTGGAGAATGTATTTATTTAACAGCTTTGTATAACAAAACCGGAAACAATGGAAACACTAAATAAATGTATTTTAAATTATAGCCAAACAGCCTGGAGCCTTCATGAGGATCCCAGGGTCAGGGTGGGAGCCAGGAGGGTACGTGGGAGGGGTGCTGAGCTCCATGTGAGTGGCTGTTTCTGGGTGAGTGTCGTGTGCAGGTGTGTGTCCTTGTCCGTGTCACATGCATATGCATCACTGGCTGTGTCCAGTGTGGTCTTTGTACATGTGGTTGTGTGTGTGAGATGTGAACTCCACCTTGGTCCAGCCTTCCTGGACTCCAGGACTGCCTGTGTGGCCCCGGCCTGGGCAGGACCAGGGTTTCCCCAGGGACCCTTCCCACACAGCAGGAGAAGACCCCTGTCCAGTGTAGCACTACCCACTGCTCCAAGCAGGGCAGAAACGGCTCTGGGCTCACTGGGAGGGTGGGTCCTGCTCACCGGGGCTTGCTGGGCTCCTGCTGGGCAGCACCCCCAGCAAGCTGGGCCAGGCATGATGGCTTTCCTCCAGGGGCAAACAGCGGGCCGTGGCTGGGGATGTTAGATAATGTCTCCAAAGACCAGCAGCATGGGAGTAGGCAGAACTGTATCCCTGGGCTGTGCAGAAGGAGGGGATGAGCAAAGAGGGAGGGAGGGAGGCAGGGTGAGGGGTTAGGGGACCAGGAGCCAGAGAAGTGGCAGGAGAGGAGACCCTGGCTGTGCAAGAGCCCCAAGGCTTGCCAGCCTCCTGTGTCTTGGCCGCAGGGCTGTGCACCTGGGCCAGCAGGGCCTCGCTGGTCAGGTGAAGGAGCTGTGCTGGGTGTGGACTGGGGCTGAGGTCAGGAGACCAGGTCAGTTAGCTCTCATGGCTGGGCCTGACACTGCGGATGGTGCCCCCTTCTACACTTGGTTCCTTCTGCCTCAGTCTCTCAGTGGGGACTAAAGCCTGCAGCCGCCTCGATGTGGTGGGGTGTGCAGAGCAGGGAGTGCAGGGCTGTGTGTGTGGAGTCCATGTTTGTCCTTATGCATATGTCCCCTGGCCTCAGGGCTGCCCACGCCTGCTTCTGTGGGCACCTATCCTGCCATCCCTTCTACCACCCTCATTGGCTGAGCAGCTGTCTCTGGGCTTCAGGTCCCTACCCATCCGCTTTTCCAAGGGCGTGGCCACAGGGATCCTGGCAGTGCTGTAGGGAGTGCAGGCTGCTCCCTGGGCCGGGAGCAGTGCTGTGGGGGCAGAGCCTGGGCTGGAAGAGGGGCAGGGACAGGTCCTGGGTAGGGGTGGTTTGCTCCTTTGCCCTGACACTCTAGGGCTTCAGTTTCCCTACCCACATGGAGTGGGCTGGTGGCCTCAGACCTTGGCAGCATCCTGAGTGACTGCTGGTGGGGCCACAGGGCTGAGGCCTGGCCAGAAACCTTGCTGGATGCCCCTGGGGAAGTGCCAGGGAGGGGGGTCCAGCTGGTTGCCAGGGAAACCCAGGCCAACAAATACTCCCCTCTTGGCCTGCAGGGGCCGGATGACCTCATCTGCCCACCCACTGCTCTGCAGGCTAGAGGTGGGGGGTCTGCTGTTTGTATTGGGCCCCAGGCCATGGAAACCAACAGGGAGCAGCCTGGCTGGGGGCTGGGGTGCGGCTGCTCCTGCTGTGGTCAGAGGCCAGGCCCAGCCTCCCACGCAGCGCATGCCAAGGAGGAGGGCAGCCAGGGCCCAAAAGTGCCCAGCAGGACCAGAGGGGCCATGCCCAGGTAGCATCTGCACTGCGCTGTGAGGGGCAGGCTTGGCCCCTGGCTCCCCAGAAGTCCAGCGTCTGCCCTCAGGGCCAGGTGAGGCCACAGACAGCCAGGCAGAAGCCTCTTCCCTCCTTTCTCAGCAGTTCAGCCCACTTGAAAGTAGCTGTTTCCCTGGAGGACACCAGGAGCCCTCCGCCACCTGGCCCCACAGTGGCCAGGTATCATCTACCTTTGTGGCTTTCACAGTCCGGCTCTGTTGTAGCCCTTGGGGCCCAGCTCTGACTTTCGGCTGCCTGAGGCACCAGACACCAGCTGTCCACCCAGAGGCCTTCCCTGAGCTTCGCTTCTTGGTTTTTCCCAAGGAAGGCAGGGTTTCTCTTTTCTCTAAACTTAGTGTGGGAGACAAAAAAATAAAAAAATAAACTTAGTGTGTTTTGCAGGTCAGGCACCCTACGTCTCACATGCTTGGGACGTTTTTAGATTTCAGAGTATGTGCATGGGTCAAGCGTCTCCAGATCCCAAACCCTAAATCTTCCAAAATACTCCAAACCTGAAACATTTTGAACCTCGTGCAGGTGCTTAAAAAGTATGAGAATGGTTTGTTTTGTTTTTTTAATGAGAGTGTTTGGTTTGGGAGCATTCTAGGTTTGGAGGGTCAGGGGTCCATTGGTTAGCTTCCAGCTGCCCGTGGTGTCTGCCCCTAACACACCCTGGAGGGGCACCGCCAGCTCAGGGCTTCTGGGAGCAGCCAGGGAGCATGCACAGAGGCACGGGAGCCTGGAGGCACAATCCTCACGAGTGGTCCGCTGCTGGCACAGCACCCTCAGCCCCGTTGTCCCTGAGGACCTCCGCCAAGCTGCGCAGGTACACCCTGTGATGCCCCATGTTTCCCTTGGCCTGGGAGACACCACACTCATCAGGGCTCCCGTGTTCTTGCCTCCATCTGGGGACTTGCTCTGGGCATCAAGGTTGTTAAGCAGTGCCAGTGTGGTGGTACACGCCTGTGATTCCAGCATTTGGAAGACTGAGGCAGAAGGCTCACTTGGAGTTTGAGGCCAGCGTGGGCTGCACAATGAGTTCAAGGCAAACCTGCACAAGGACAGGCATATGAAGGTCTTTGAATGCTGGTGCCTGGGCACCTACGGGTGCTGCAGTCTCCCTGGAAAGGCTCTACTGCTGCTGCTGACATTTGCCTCCCCTGCGGGGCGTTGTCCCCGGGCACAGCCCGGACCTGGTATCCATCTCTGCTACCCGCATCATCCTTCTCTCCACCCAGGGCAGCCTCCACGTCAGAGCCTCGTCATCTGGTGCCTGTGGCCCTTGGGGCACAGGGTTGGCACTGCGCCTCCCTTCTGCTGTACAGTGCTACTGGGCTTCTCCTCAGTGTCAGCTGGGCCAGACACTTGCCTCATAGCCTCTGTGACTGCGCTGTGGTGGCAATGGCAGCGTGGGCACACACTCACCCTTCCCTTCTGGGAACTGCAGGTCCTGGAGGCGGTGGATGGCAGAAGGAGGGGGACATGGGGAAGGACGCAGATGAAGCTATCAGTGATGCTGATCCCCACACCTGCCCCAAGCCAGGACCAGTGTGGGGTCAGGTGTAGACCACACAAAGCCTCACCTGGAGGGGCAGAGGCAGAGACCTGAGTATCTGGACCAGGGGATGAGGCCGGAGACCTTGCTCTCTGACTGTCTGTCTGTCTGTCTGTCTGTCCAGGTGTCCCATGTCCAGCCTGCCTCCCTCAGTGGCTGGTGCTTGTGTGAAGCAAGAACCTAATCTGGGGCTGGTGAGATGGCTCAGTGGTCTAAGGCACCTACTTAGAACAAGCTAAGCTAAACAAAAGCACAGGGACCGCGGTTCAATCCCCCAGCACCACATGTCAGCCAGCCCCGCCCCCTGGTGGGCTGAGCTGGCCACACACACACACACACACACACACACACACTAAATAAATAAATAAAGAAAGAAAGAAAGAAAGAAAGAAAGAAAGAAAGAAAGAACCTAATCTGGCCATCTTCTTACCTAACCCCTCTCCTCTTCTTCTCTTTCCTTTCTTTTCTCTTTATTTATTTATATTTGGTGGAACCAGGGATTGAACTCAGGCCCTTGCACTTGCCAGGGAAGCGCTTATTCCACTGAGCCATCTCCCTAGCCCTCCTTTCTTTTCTAAATGTCATTTTCTTTTCATTTCTTTCGTTCTTTCTTTCTTTCTTTCTTTCTTTTTTTTTTTTTTCTTTCTTTCTTTTGGCTCTGAATGACTTCAGGGCAGGTTTGGCCTGCTTGAGTTGTGGGGATCGAACCCCAGCAACCTGAGCCTGACTGCTTTGTTGAAGCAGCCACTTAAAGGACTGAGCTAAGGGGCAGGCCCCCTCTTTTCATTTCTTTTCCCCTTTCTTCACTTCCTTTCTTTTTCTCCTCTTACCATTCCCCTTCTTTTCCCTTTTCTGTGTTTTCTTTTTTTTGTCCTTTCCTGTCATGCTTGCATGGCACTGTGTGTCCTACACATGTCATAAAATAATAAATAATAAGAGAACACCTTGCTACACTGTGTATTGTTGTCTTCAAAGTAGTTACTCAGATTACAAGATGGACCAAAAGGTGCTTACACCAGAGATGCACTCTTCAAGGGAGTGCTTATCATCCTTGTAGTGTAAATGAACCAGCAGCACATGTATGAAGGCCTTTGGGAGCGACGGAGTGCGTAACTTGGGGAAGCTCATGAGTGCCTTGCTCTTCCCCATTCGTCTCTCATCTGTGTTGCTCTTTGTGCATATAATTTTGCATTGTCATATAAGAGAAACCACGTGCTGTTTGAGCTGGTGTGTTTATTTCACTTATCGTGTTCTCTAGTTGCTTCAGGGTTACCTTTTGGGGGCAGTATAGTACTCCATCATGTACAGACACATTGTCCTTATCCATTCATGTGTTGATGAACACACAGACTATTTCAAGATTTAACTCTTGTAAGCTGTGCTGCTATACATGTGGTTTGAGTGGCTCACTGTGATAGGCTGTTCCCAACTCTCAGGACTGTGTCCTCCAGGTGTGTATTGGTGGCCCCTCTGTCAAAGACATGATGATTGTGCCTAGGCTTATTACATTTTCCTAATCTTAGTGGGCCTGTGCTGGACCTTGTCTGTCCCCTGGCTGACCCCCAGTGGAGCTCCTGACTGTCCCTGACTGGCCACTGTGCCCCAGCCCTTAGGAAGCGGGAGGTTCTATGTGACCCTCAGGGTTGCAAGGCTGGGGCAGGCCTGGCCCATCTAACACCCACATGGGTCTCAGGGTCTGGGCACAGAGGGAC